ATTTTAATATGGAAATTAATATGTATCTCTTCCCTAAATTATTGCCTATTTTCCAAAATAATATGCTTCATTTCATTTTTTCATTTTATTAAAGCTTATAGGCCGCCCTTTTCCCTGAGGGCGGCTTACAAATCATGGGAAGGGGAGTGCAAGACAAAAAAGACATAAAACTGTGCGTGAATAATAAAAAAAGAAAAAAATAACAATAAAACACAACTTTCACTCAACATTCGGGTGGGGCGGATTAGGATCTTATCCCCAGGCCTGACGGGATAGCCAGATCTTAAGGGCTGTGCGGAAGGTCTGGACGGTGGTGAGGGTATGAATCTCCATGGGGAGGTCGTTCCAAAGGGTCGGAGCTGCTACTGAGAAGGATTTTATATCATCTGGAATGAAGACTATGAATAACAGCTGGATACCTCCCTAGGCTCAAAACAGGACATGGCTTGGCAGCCTTGACCCTAGAGCAATTGTGAATTGCTCCCCTCCCACATGTGAATACATGCACACACTCCCCCCCCCCCAATATGCACCGTACCGCTCACCTTCAAGCTGAGTTTGGGTATTTCCTCTGGGAGGGCGGGAGGAGGCCATTTTTACCCCCCCGAGTCTCCAATGGAACAACAAACAACAAAACAGAACAATAGAACAGAACAATGGGCTTACCGGACCTTCCGGAGGCTTTCCTGGAGAGGGTGAAAATGGCCTTCCCGGGCGCTCCGGAAGTCTGAAAATCAGCTGGCTGGCACACACATTCATGCTGGCTCGCTTGCCAGAAGATAGGTCTCCGCGTGCCACCTATAGCACGCGTAACATTGGTTCGCCATCACGGGTTTTAGGTCTCCTGCTTAAAGCAGGGGCTGGACTAGAAGACCTCCGAGCTCCCTCCCAACTTCTTGTTATTCTGTTGTTTTTTCCAGTTGTCCCTCCGAAAGCCCCCAGAGCTCTTTCTAAACAATAGGTTAGCTCTCCAGCACAGTTCTTGTTTAAATTTATACCCTGGCATCTATCATCACCTCTTTAGTCATCTCGTCCTGGCCAATTTTCCATGGAAACTGGGCTGTGGGTCAGAGGTCTCCAAACATGGCGATTTTACAATTTGTGGACTTCAACTCCCAGAATCCCTCAGCCAGGCTAGGGAACTCTGGGAGTTGAAGTCCACAAGTCTTAACATTACCAAGTTTGGAGCCCCCCCCCCCCTGCTTGTAGATCTTTTGAAACGGCGAGGCCTGAAAGGAGAGAGACAGATTGGCCACACTTCCCTGAGGGTCTCCCCTCTCCATCTGCACATAAACAAGTGGAGCAAGGTGGTTTTCTCCCCCCAAGATGTCTTCTTCTCCAAACCAACCTCCACCAACTCTCTTGACTCCGTCCACAGGAGCGCCCAAATTGCAGATCTGCAGCAGAAATTGCTGGACGCCGAGACCAGCGACCGGACCAAACAGCGCTGGGAAAATATAGCCACCATATCAGAAACCAAGTGTGCCGTCAAGTACCTGATTGGTGAAGTAAGTTTGGGGTGGGTGGGGCTACAGAAATGGCATCAGGGCCTTCCTTGCTGGCTCGCCTGTCCTCAAGATGTTGCCGCTTGATACCTTCAAGAGGAGGTCCAAAGATAAGAGGAGGTGGGGAGAATCTCCCCTAATGTCCTCTCCTTGTGTTTTTCCTTGCACCTGAAGTTGGTGGCCTCCAAAGTCGAAAATGGGAAAGTAGAAAACCGCCTTCAGCAGAGCAAAACCACCTGCGCCGACGTCCATAAGATGCTTCTGGAAGAGCGGAAGGGGGCTGCCGACATGGAGGCCGAGCTGGAGAGGCAGCTGGTTCAGATGGAGCAAGAGAACCAGGAGAAGGTACGGCCTGGACTACAACCACCCTCGCTTTCCAGAAACACTGCATTTAGGTAGTGTGGTGACCCCACAAAAATCACCTCCTTTTAATGACCCCATCATCCCTTGCGGGGTGGAGTCTGGGCAACTGAATGGAGCTATGTGTTCACTGGCCGGATGCCCTTCCCTGTCGCCAGGGCAGAGTTTTATTCAGCAGGTGCAATCTCATTGTGCCCAGAGAGAGAAATATCTGACTCTACCTAGGATCGAACTTAACACGTCCTGATTGTGAGGTGAGAGCTCCACCTCTAGGCCACCACACCAGTCAGTGACCTCTACTTGATGATGGATGGATGGCCCTCACTTTGCGAGCACGGTGGAGACCCCAAATTCTGTTGCTAAGCTGGACAATCAAAATGAGCTTTCTCCCATTTCACGACTGTTGTTAAGCGAACCACTGCAGCTGCTGAGTTAGCGCAGGCTGACCTCAGTTTAACAACCGTTCCTTTAGCGGCCGTTCAAAGTTACGGCGGCACTTAGGAGCCTTTTTTTTTTACACTTAACGACCATTGCAGCATCTCCGTGGTCACGTACGGTAACGCTTGGCAACTCACTAGCGTTTATAACTGTTGCCACATCCCGGGGATCACACTGCAACCTTCAGATAAGCAAACTCAAAGCGGGATTCACTTAACCGTGCCAGGGTTCCAAATAGCATCCAAAATTAAATCAGANGGCTGAGTCAACCCTGAGCCGGTGAGATTTGAACCGCTGACCTGCTGATCTAGCAGTAGCCTGCAGTGCTGCATTTAACCACTGCGCCAACTTGGGCACTAGGTCAGCCTGAGCACTCTTGGAAGTGGACATCTAGATCTTGGCAGAGTTGAACAATGGGCCCTATTCAACAAAATGCAATTCAGTACTAAAAAAAGTAAGGTTTTACATTTAGGTGGGAAAAACCAAAAGCACAGATATAGAATAGGTGGTACCTGGCTTAACTACAGTACCTGTGAAAGGGAGTCCTAGTGGACAGCCACTTAAGCATGAGCCAGCAATGGTGCTTCAACTGCAAAAAGGCCAATGCAGTCCTATGCTGCATCTATAGAGGGATAGCATCACGATTACATGAAGTGCTAATACCACTTTACACCATACTAGTCAGACACACTTGGAATATTTGCATCCAATTTTGGTCACTGTGATACAAAAAATGTTGAGACTCTAGAAAGAGTGCAGAGAAGAGCAACAAAGATGATTAGGGGGCTGAAAGATGAACAAGATGAACAGTTTCACGAACTGGGTATGCCTAGTGCAATGAAGAAGAAATAGGGGTGACATGATAGCAGTCTTCCAATCATGAAGAAGCTATCACTAAGAAGAGTGGGTGAGGGTGAATCTCTTCTCCAAAGCACCGAGGGCCAGTAACAGTTGGAAACTTATCAGAGTCCCAAAGGTGCTTTTTCACAATTGGACTTTCTGGTTTTTCTTTGAAGATGTTTCGCTTCTCATCTAAGAAGCTTTTTTAGCTCTGGATGAGAAGCAAAACATCTTTAAAGAAAAAACCAGAAAGTCCAGCTGCCTCTTGAAAAAGCATCTTTGGGACAACCAAGATCTGGATGACTGAGAATGTCCATAGACATTTATCAAGCAGAGATCCAACCTAGAAGTAAGGAAAAATTTCCTGACAGTAAGAACAATTAATCATTGGAAGGACTTGTCTCCAGAAGTTGTAGGTGCACCATCATTGGAGGTCTTTAAGAAGAGATTGGACAGCCATTTGTCTGAAATGGCATAGGTTGGACTAAGAAGACCTCCAAGGTCCCTTCCAACTCTGTTACTGGTTATGTCTGCCAGCTCCTTCAGAACCCTGGAATGTCTTCTATCGTGTCCTGGCAATTTGAAGTCATTGAGAGTGGACAGGTGTTTTCTTACCATTGCCTTGCCTATTTTGATTTGTATTCCTAATCTGTCTTTTACGGTTCTGCTTTGGATAGGTTGGACCAGTGGTGGGTTCCTAACTGGTTTCTTACTGGTTTGCTGAGAGAGAGTGTTTTGCATGTGCGCAAAAATGTTGCATCCACGCTTCTCACTTCACTCACGTGCACACACCCCACGCATTGCTGCACATGCACAGTTTACTGAAAACTGTTCTGTGCATGCGCAGAAACATGCCGGCGGCGGGAGAAGAGACCAGAGACCTGGTTCAGGGGCATGGCAGGCCTGGGTCGCTGCCAGTTCCAGTGATCCAGGCCGAAAAACCACTACCGGTTCGCCCGAACCGGTCCGAACCTCTAGGAACCCATCTCTGGGTTGGACCATTTTTTTCTTTTGTGCAGAGACAGATGCAAAGAAATGAATTGTGCAGTTCTACTTCCTTTCTCCAACCCATCACCTCCCTGCCATCTTCTCCACATTACGGGACTTCACCTCCAGGTTTTTATGGTGACATTTAATATATTGCAATGGCTCCTCCCATTGCTACAGATTACACAGCTTGCAATAAACAACAACTCTGCTATCTGTCTGGCTTGCCTAAACTTCAGTTTGTGGGAGATTAAGTTGATAAAGCAAGAGGCCAGCGAAATTATCTCCAAACAAACCTTAAATCACAGCCTGTAGAAAATCACAGGCCAAATTACAGCACTGAGTTTTACAAGCTACGCGTAAATCACCTTTAAGATGTTGGCAGTTTCTTCCCATAGTTTGCTACAGGTAAGTCAACAGACATAAGCATCCATGCACTCAGTGCACAAACACACACACAAACACACACACACACATGGGAAAAAACCCTGGATACCAAAGGTAACATTTGTGATGCACTGTTTTCTACCTGCCTGAATGACATTTGCACATGTTCATCCAGGGGTGAAATTCAGCAGGTTCTGACAGGTTCTGGAGAACCGGTAGCAGAAATTTTGAGTAGTTCAGAGAACAGGCAAATGCCACCTCTGGATGGCCCCAGCGTGCGGAGGGAATGAAAATTTTGTAGTATCATTG